CCCCCCCCACTCCCCCCTCCACTTTCCTCCCGTCAAGCGTTGCAGCAACAAGGTCAAACACGGAGGCGGAAGGAGGATGGCGGGATACAAAACATGCAGTAAACACACGTGCACAACTCTGCCTGCCATGTCTGGAAACCTGACGCAGGTTTGATCTAGAAATTTTTAGAGTCAGGGCTTTTTTTAAAATCGACTTTACTTACGTTCGAGGCTCATCAGCAGTTTTTGAAACCCTGCAGAGTAAAGTGCAATACAGAACAACAAGAAACTCTAACAAGATAGGAAGCAACACTTCATAAGTAATCATTTTTTATATTAATATAAGAGTTTTGTCATTTTTATTGCTATTTCCATCTTCAAGAAACAGCAATTACTGACAAAGTGGAAGTAAAGATATTTTTAGGCAAAAGAAAGAGATTGTGGCTCTTATTTAACCTTGCTGGATTGTCATGGTAATTTCCTGCAGAGCTAACGCACTACAAAAAAATGTTAGTATTCCTGATACAGCAACAGTAAAGTAATAGTAAAACTTTTCTGTTTCTGAGTGACAAAAAGGAGCATTTCCTGGAAAATTGCAGAAAAGAGTTTGTGCCCMACTTTTTATCAGTTTCAATTGTATTGTTTTGTTTTTGTTTGTWTTTCCACAGTCTGAAACCTCGGCCCTAAATGTTTATTGTCCAAGTTTAATGTTCAGGAAACAGCATCCTATTAGAGGCAGTGTTTAGCCTCAAAATGTCACTGAAATTGGGGAAAATGGCCAATTTGTAACAACAGCAGAGAATGTGCAGGAATTGTAATAGAAGTCATTTTTAATGCCAGACAATGTGCTTGTTTACAATCCAAAACAATGGTATAAACATTGTATTTTAGCACAAATAGCAGTTTTGATTAAGCAAAATGGGGGTCAAACACTGTTCAGTAAGTAAAAAAAAAATACAAAACATCAAATCTGCTGGTGAGGAGTGTTACTATCTTACACACACACCTGTACTAAAATAATTCATRTCATCAGATCAAAACTGCTTATCATTTTACCCTTCTTTCCATTACTTTCACCAAACGTGACAGTAATTGTGGGGTGCAGAGGCACATGTCACCGCTGGGATCACTACCTGCTGAGAGAATCAAAAAAAAAAAAGACGACAAAGAAAATAGAAAAAGAAAAGTGAAAATATGAGACAAGACATGAACGAAGGTCACAACCTACATTCAAATCCCAAACTACAGTCTTTAGCAGTAGTCAGTTAAAAACTAAATCAGCTGAATCAAAAAAATCAAAGATTAATTGAAAGAATAAACAGAGAGGACTTGGTGGTGACAGAGTGAGGTAAAAAAAATCAGGCCAAGCATGTATCAGCTTCACACTGAGATCACAGACACCAAGCGCTGTCATCCAATCTCTTCTTCCCTACCTCCATCTGTTTACCTTCATCTTTCTATCTTTACCTCTATTTCTGTCTGATTTTTTTTCTTTTTCTTTTTCTTTTTTTTTTTCTTGTCAGTATCTCTGTGTCTCGGCTTTTATTTGAGGCAGATATAAAAGATAGAACGGAGACTAAAAAAAAAAAAACAGGCTGTTAGAGAAGTACGATGGAAAAGGATACGCAAACAGATGTTTGTTTGAGTAATGCAGAGAAGGATTACATTTTTTTTATTTTAGACGTTTTTATGTAATTGCCTAACTCTAATAAGATGATGTTAAAGATTAGAAAACATTTGATTACAGTGTTGATACAGAAATAATTTAAAATGCAGAACAGATAACCATCAAAAGACAAACCAACACCTTTTAGGAATCTCCCACCTCCTTAATGCCAAAGGTTTAGATCAGGGGTGTCAAACTGAGTTTCTCGGGAGGCCAAAATTCAAAATGTAGTCCAAGCCAAGGGCCAATTCTTGTCATTTTTAATCAAAAAAACTTCCAACTTAAAAATGATAAAAATAAAACTCATATAACAAGTTACTCTAACAGAAATACAAATGACCCACCTTTCACAGTGRTGTTTTATAGCATTTAAAACATATTTACTTAATAGTTAAAGAAAATTATTAAATTTAGAAAGACTCATCAKTAGAATTCATTTCTGAAGTCTTACTCTCTGTCTTAGTATTTCTTCACAATCCAGCAAATCAGTTTAAAAAAGAAAAGAAAACAAAAAAAATTAAATTAAGTCACTAAGATATTAAGAGAATGAAGAAAAAGATTGTTTCTACAATAAAAACAATGTTTACTGAACCTTGGCTTCAAAGTTGGCCAGCTGTCATGAGAATAATGTGATAAAAAAAATTATGTTTCAAGAAAAAAAATTGGAGGCCAGATAAAATGATAAGGAAGGCCAGATTGGGCCTGAGGGCCTTCAGTTTGACACATGACTAAAAGCATGTTTTGTTGAGAAAGATGCTGTTGTTTTGGATGTTCCACATAACCCAACATCCAAAGGGATAAACTACACATGAGTGTGACCAAATAGTATTCATCTGTGGTCGAATTCTAGAAAATCCATCAAAAATTGATATCTTAATCAGAAAAACAACTTCCTGTGACATGATGGAAACTGAAACTTTGTGTGTGTGATTGAGTAAATTGTGAGGAGCAGAACAGACAACCAGACACCACGATGACAAGAAATAATATACTCACGCTAAGACATATAAATAGGAAGCGAGGGAATGAGAAGTGTAATCATCTCCAATCAAGATGTTATTGATTTACTGCTTGATTTCTCTCTCCCATCAGCACCTGGCTCT